GTTCACAATTGCAAGCAAAACTAGAGGCTATCATAGAGGGCAAGTGAGGAGGAGGAGAGACTGTGGGGGCGAGAAGATGGGAGGCGACTACTGAAGCTGCAGACACACAGGAGCTGCTGGCTCAGTGGCTACCGAAGCAAAGGCCCGGACTACAGGAGTAACTGGCTCCGCGGAGATTGTAGCCTCCTGACTGGAGCAACTGACCCACAGGCGACTGGCGACTACCGGAGATTGTAGCCTCCGGACTACTGGCGCTGCTGACGACACGACGGCTGCCTCCACTCAACCCCCCCCCAGCTGCCCCACGCCCTTATCACACACCCCCTGCTGCACCCCTAGCTCCACTCCCACGAAACCCTCCTAGTACCACTCCTTCGGCTCCCACACACCCACCCCCCTAAGCGGCAGCTGCAGCACTGGGAGACGGAGGAGGAGTAGGGGACGGCGCACACAACCGGCACCCCCACAACCGGCACCCCCACACTCCCCACCCCCAAACCCTAAAACGGGTGGCACGGGGTAGGAGCGCGGGGGACGGTGAGGGGGACGGCGCGCGACCCCCAGGGCGCCACCACGGGGCAGCGAGGGGCCGCGCGCGGCTCTCTAGGGCGCCGCGACGAGGCAGCGGGGGGGTCGCGCACGGCTCCAGGGGTGGCGCGCGGGTCCCCGGGGGCGACGCGAGGGTCGACGGGGGTGGCGCGCGGGTCCCCTGAGGCGATGCGAGGGTCGACGGGGTGTGGCGCGCAGGTCCAGCGGGGCCGGCGCGCCAGGAAGAGAAGGGGCCGCGCGCCTCGGGGCGCGCGCCAGAGAGTAAACCGCCGCGCGCCTAGCTGCGCCGGAAGAGACGACGTTCGAGGGTCGTGGAATCTCTCCCTCCGCATGGCCGTGCTCCTGCCTGTTTGAGGCCGCGGCAGCAACAGGCATTCCGGCACACGCAGCGGCAGTCGTCGCGCCTTCCGCCATCGGGGCGTCGCCCTGCTCCCCAGTCGCAGCAGACACCGCCGCCGCCAGCACAGCCGGCGACACCGGTGCCGGCAACGCGGACAACGCCACCTCCGCGGTCTGTTCCGGATCCGCGCCCAACCTCGTCTCCTCAACCTCCGCCTGTGCAACCCGTGGGATGGCACAGGGTGAAACTGAGCCGCTGTCAAAGGCAGCGGCAGAAGCGCCAGCAGACAGCATGACTGCAGGCACCACAAGCATCAACAACCACAGACTTCCCCGCAGCCGCCATCCTGGGTAGCATAGTAGCCGCCAGCTCAATCTCCACTCCGTCGATTTCCTTTGCCCCTCCGTCCGCAGCAGCATTGCTCCTCGGTGTACCATGCTCCTCCGTCTCCTCCCCTGCACGCCGGAAACCCTCCGTCAGTACCAAGCCCGTCGTCGTTCCATCGGTATTCGTACGGCGGAACCCCTGTGCAGCACCCATGGGGGCCGGTGACGCCTCTTGCCCCGCCTCCTCCTCCTGCCGTGGTTCCTGGTGAGCCTCCAACTCTCGTCGAGCAGCGCGTGATGCACGTGGGGACTTGCTTGACGCTCCTCTCATATGTGCTCGACCAACTTCAGGTGACCCTGGTGTAGCAGGAGGTGCAGATCGAGGCGATGCAGCCAGCGGAGCAGTCGACGGCATTGTCGGCAGTGGAGGAGTTGCAGCATTACCTCCCTCTGATTGGCTTTATGCCAGGATCCCCTGGGGCTGCCCTCGGGCCCGGTCCTGGAGCTTTGGCGCGGCTTGCCGAGTCTGCCGAGCAGGACCCGCTTGACCTTGTAGCCGCCGCCGCGTCCGTCCTACGCTGGTTGGACGGGAGGATTTGTTGGATCCTGGTTGAGTAGCGGTTGCCTTCCCCTTGCCGGCCCCCTGTGTGGCAGGCCTGACTTTGGGCTTCACCATGGCGGTTTAGGCACGCTCGGGGGTGTTGCTCTTGTTGTAGGATGCTACCCTTGCATGTTGTGACACTTGTTTTTATAGTACTTGTCATCTCTTTTCCTTGCCTCCCCTCTCACGCGGCTGCCGAAGGCGGCCGGCGCGAGCCGCCTGTTTTGGAGAGTGAACTGGACTCACCACGTGAAGAATGAGCTCATAGGGCTAGATCTAGGGACTTTATACTAGGAAAACTGCTCTAAAAACGGCTAAGGACTGGATCCTAGAGGAGCAGTCCTAAAACGGCTAAGGACTAGACTAGGCCATCTCCCTCTCTCTCTCTCTCTCTCTCTCTCTCTCTCTCTCTCTCTCTCTCTCTCTCTCTCTCTCTCTCTCTCTCTCTCTCTCAAGTAGTCATGTATTGATAGTGGTCACGAGGTACAGACATGGCAGGAGATGGCTGTAGCTAGTTTGTCTGGGCCTGTAGGCAGCCAGGAAACCTAAGAGCTAGCAAACAGAGCATGCAAGCGAACAGGCAAGCATATGGGCAAGCAAGGCAGGCCAAGCAGTGCAAGCCAAGCGGGCATGCCGTTTGTGTACGGCCCTGTCCCCTAACATCTTAGCGGGCCGGCTAGCAGCAGAGCCAAAACCCTGAGTACCTCCCTCTCCTCCTGTCCTGTGGCTCCCCCGACCCCACCCAAGTCCCCCTGCCCCCCCGGAGCTTCCTCTCACTTTCCTGCAGTCGCCGACTTTTCCCTCCTGCCCCTCTAAGCCGCCCTGGCAGGAGCCTCCCGCTCCTCATACTCATCCTCCGCCATCTGCCAGAGGTCCCCTAGCCGTGGGGCCCAGGGGTCTCCTGCAGCCTGCGGGAATGCCGCTTCGGCTGCTCGGTTGGACTTAGAGAGGAGTGAGATGGCTTGGCTGCGCTGCAGCATCACCGACCACCTCTGGCGGTAGTGTGCAGTGAGCCGAGCTGCCGTTGTTGTGAGGCGCCCCTGTCTGAACTTCGTCTTCGCCGCGTGGGTAGCCAGCATGCGAAGGAACTGGACTGTGTCTGCCGCCATGGCCCCGTAGGTCTCGACAGCCAGTCCAAAGAATCCGGCATAGGTGGGGCGCCCTTCGTATAGCCGATGCTTCCGCTGTGAGGCTTCCTCCGCGGCCCACCCAGGCGGCCTGCGGGCCCTGCTGTCTCTGTTCTGTAAAACTGGGTCTGTCACGGTGACATCCGTTACCCATGTCGCCCCCGACTCCTGGTCCCGTATTGCTAAGTCTGCCGGTTTCCTGAGGACTGGTGGTGAGAACGCTGAGGTCTCATGAAACGTTTTGTAGCCCGCCTCATTAGCAATCCGCAGCGCCGCATAGACTAGGGCGTTGTGGGTCCTGACGGCATCACCCCCGTCCTGGCAGCGCAGCAGGTGGTTCGGCAAACTCTTGTCCCCGATCGCCGCGTTGTCACGTTTGCACGGGCACACGTCAGCTACTGGCAACTCCATGCCCAGGCGTAGGCCCAAGGCCAACGAGAACTGACCAGGGGAAATAGAGAGGTCAGCTCTCGTCGGTACCGCATGTAGCCAGTCGCCCGCGCCAGTCCCTCTCAGGCTTATCAGTCTCAGCGCGTGACCTCTGTTGGTGCCAGGCCTGTCCGCCACCGTGTCCCCCAGGAGCTCGACCGCCCGCCGCTGGTTGATTATCTTGGAGAGGCACAGCTGGAGGCTGCCTGTGCCCTTGTTCCCCGTCCTGTAGGCTCCCAGCGCCACCTGTGCCTGGGCTGGCAGCCCCTTCTCTAAGCTTGACAGTGTGCTGCTGTCCGGCGGTGGTGGGCTCCAATCGTGGGAGAGCAGGGCCGTTGCTCTGTGTAGCAGGCAGTCCGGAGGAAGATTCAGGTGCTGCAGAAGGATGTGCGCCGCCGTGACAGAAGCGATGTAGGCGGCCGGGGCCTCAGAGACAGGGTCAATGATTCCCAGACCGCCCAGCCGAATCGAGAGGGTGGCCTGTCGCCACAGTAAGCTCTGCTCCAGCTCCGAGTTGGGGATGCGGAGCTTTGCAGCTGTGAGCGCCGAGCCAACCAATGCCTCACTCCAGTCCCTCCACTCCTCAGCGCCCAAGGTCGTCGCCGGCGTCGTCCTCAGCATGTATGAGATGCGCCGGGATATGCTGCGGGAGATTATGAGCATGGCATGTTGCGGGTTTAGCTGAGAGACAAGGGGAAGGGGCGAGGCAGCTTCCCCCAGTGCCGCCCGGACTTGGGCAGTGCAGAAGTCGTCGCTGCCGATAGGGCTGCCAAGGACCCGTATCCCGCCCGGGTCCACCACCAAGCCTAGTGGTAGCTCCCTGTTATCTCCGTCGTGCTCCGCTCCCCATGCCGATGACTTAGAAATGTTGCAGCGTAGTCCATATTCGGCCAAGTCGCCCGCTATCTTGGTGAAAGCACGGCACGCTGCTTCCCGTTGGCCGATAATGGTGATGTCGTCCGCGTAGGCTACCACTGCCACTTCCGGTGTAGTCGCCGAGACGCTCAAGAGGGCGGGCTGGATCGCTGCCGCGAACAAGAGAGGGCCCAAGGGATCTCCCTGTCTGACGCCACGTGTGCTCTGGATTTGGTCTACTCCCAGTCGAGCATCTACGAGCAGAGGCGATGGACCGTCGTACAGATTTAGGGCGTATTCACCTGGGGTACTCACGGCGGCTGCAACAGACTCGGTGGCTGCAGCAAGGTTGGTGGCTGCAGCACAGTCAGCCTGGTCCTTGCCTGAAAATCAGCCAAGAAATCTGCTGGCTGGAGCACACTAGATCACTGCTGCACAAATGTTGAGTGCAATAGAGTCAGAGCCAGAAGCACAGTCGCTAGGGTTGCAGCTACAGCTCCCTGGAACTTGTTTTCAATCACCGGCTGATCCTGCTGCTTCTACTTGCGGTGCTACTTCTGCTTCTACTATTTTTTTAAGTGGATGTTGCTACTGACGTTGTTGCGATGCTGGCACTGGTGGTGATGGTGCCTCATGAATCCACCCATTGCACAATTCTAAAAGTGATGGCATGGATTTTTCCAGCCTCGCTGCCTCTGTGCCTTATAGTGCGGCTAGTGCTGGTGGTGCTGCTGGTGCTGCACATATGCACCCCCTGTACAGTTTCAGCCATGATGCCAAGGCCTCTTCCAGTCTCACAGCTGCTTCTTCCCCTGGTGCTGCAGGTGATGTAAGTGCTGCTAGTGATGTACGTGCTGCTGGTGATGCTTGTGATTTTGTTGGTTCAGCTGCATCGCTCCCCCATGTTGCTACTGTTGCTGGTGCTGGTGGTGCTGGTGGGGTTGTTGGTGTTGCTCGTGGAGCTGGTGCTTCACATACGCACCCCTTGAACAGTTTCAGCCATGATGCGACTACTTTTTCTAGCCTCAATGCTACCACTTCCGCTGCTGTGGCTGATGCTGGTGTGAGCACTGCTGCTCGTGCTGCTGGTGGTTATCCTACCTTTGCTGCCTCAGGTGGTGCATTTGCTACTTTGCTCCTCGGTGCTGCTGTTGCCAGGGCTTCACCACTCAAGCCCCCAGCTCCCTTTCCCTTCAAATGGTCTAGCAAAGCAATAGACCTACAAGGAAGAACAAGCAGAGTGGAAACTGCTTCTTCCGGTGCTACTGTCTCCTCTGCTTTGGCTATTGCAGCAGCAACTGCTTCTACGTGTGGTACTATTATTGAAACTGCTGGTTTGAGTGGTGATGTACGGTCCTCTCATGCCAGATTAGGCTTGGTAATGTACGCTAGTTTGGTGGCTGCTAGCTTTGGTTTGGCTACTGGTCCTGGATTTGCTGTTGCTTCTGGAGTTAATGTTGGCGCTATTGTAGGAGCGGCATCTGGAGAAGGGTACAGTGCCATTTCTGTTGTGAGGCTTGGAGCAGGTGCTGCTAATGCTGGCGTTGCAGTAGTTACACCATCAAGAGCAGGGTACAGTATCAGTTTGGGCGTGAGAATTGGAGTAGATGCTGTTGATGAGGATTGTTGCTAGCATTCACAGGTATAGGTGCACAGAGGCGTGTTAGTCAGCTGGAAATTTTACTTGGTGGAGGTGGTGGTGGAGGTGGAGGAGGAGGAGGAGGAGGAGGAGGAGGAGGAGGAGGAGGAGGAGGAGGAGGAGGAGGAGGAGGAGGAGGAGGAGGAGGAGGAGGAGGAGGAGGAGGAGGAGGAGGAGGAGGAGGAGGAGGAGGAGGAGGAGGAGGAGGAGGAGGAGGAGGAGGAGGAGGAGGAGGAAGAAGAAGAAGAAGAAGAAGAAGAAGAAGAAGAAGAAGAAGAAGAAGAAGAAGAAGAAGAAGAAGAAGAAGAAGAAGAAGAAGAAGAAGAAGAAGAAGAAGAAGAAGAAGAAGAAGAAGAAGAAGAAGAAGAAGAAGAAGAAGAAGAAGAAGAAGAAGAAGAAGAAGAAAGGGGGTAGGCATAGGAGAGTTGGAGCCTCTTCACACCGCTACAGCTGCAACCAGACAAGCGTCTTTCGTAGAATTCAAGCCCTATGGTCTAGCCGGACCTTCACCGAGTGTAGCCAAATATCCACATGGCCTGGTCGGACCTTCATCTTAGGCATGGTATTAGCAAGCCCCTAGTGGCATGGTATCAGCAAACCCCTTGGCATCGAGCCATCAGCAAACTCTGTCAAAGAAGCTTCGGATAGGTTTGATGAGCCAATACCCTAAATTAGGCTCGCTCGGCAATGTGTTTTTACTGAGGAGTGTGGCGGACCAAGCCACTTCTGGGGAGAATCTGGAGAGGAGGAAAGGGTAGAGTCTGAGTTGGAGCGGCTTCAGAGGGATGCAGATGCAAGGCGAGAGTAGGGAGATTGTAGAGAGACACTCTACAACGTTAGTGAGCTAGACTACGGGGGTTGGCACGAACTACTAGGAGTGATCGTAGCTTTTCTTAGTTCCTTAGTGCTTGCACATTCACAGGAGAAATCTGTCAGAATCCCAACCACTAGACCATTGGGATAAAAGAGCTTGTTTCAGTAGCGGGTCAGTGCGCCCATAACCCCCCAGGCGAACGCGCCTGTAACCCTCTCCAGGATCAATCGGGCATCCACAGTGCAGATCTACTGACACCCCCCACACTGGGAGGCCCAAGACTAAGCACAGCGGCAACGGCCTACATGTGCATATACCGGGAATCGAACCCGAGACCGCTCTGATACCATGTCAGAATCCCAACCACTAGACCATTGGGATAAAAGGGCTTGTTTCAGTAGCGGGTCAGTGCGCCCATAACCCCCCAGGCGAACGTGCCTGTAACCCTCTCCAGGATCAATCGGGCATCCACAGTGCAGATCTACAGACGAAATCGGCAAGAGTTTTCACTAGCAAAGTCGAAATTACAGAATGATTAAACAAGCAATGACAGAAATGACTACATCAGGGCCCTGTCAACTCTACAGCCAGCCTGGTTGACGGCTAGCATAGCTTGGTCGACCGCGTGCCAGCGTTGCGTAGAGGAGCTACGCCAGCACTGCAGAAAGGCGACCTGCAGACACTGCAGGTCGACGGCGTGCCAATACTGCAGTAGAGCGGCTATCCAGCGTTGCCCCGTAGAAGACAGCAGTGCGCACGCTCGCAGGTGCGCGCAGACGATTGGCCCGACTTGCACCGTTGTGCATCCGTCGGCTGTTGTCTACGCCTAACGAGCCACATCGACTTCGAGATACTAGCCCAAAGTCGCCTTTGTCACTGCGACCTTGACTACGTTCGCGTGAAATTCGCCGAGCAGGTTACGCGGTCGACCTGGTCGACCACCAGGTGCCTTTGGTCGACCACCAGGTGCTTCTGGTCGACCACCAGGTGCTTTTGGTCGACCACCAAGTGCCTCTGGTCAACCACAGCTCCTATCGAGCTACCCCTTGGTCGACGGACCCCTTCCATCAACTAGAACTATTAGCTGTTGTCGTCGAGCTCCCCTCGTCGACCGCTGCTCACTTCTCAGGTCGACGAACTGCTCCGTCGGCCTCCCGGTCGAACTGCTCCTCCTGGTCGATGGCCCACCCGTCGCCCAGACTAGTCAGCTGCAAATGTCAAGCTCCCTGGTCGACAGCAACACCACAGTGGTCCCCTGCAGCTCCAGGAAGCACGTCGAGCAACTCTCCCACTAAAAACGGTCTGCTGCTTCTCCCGTACATCCGACCAAGTCGTCTGCGTTGCCCAAGCGAGGGCGGGGCCAACACTCAATTCCGGGGGGTGATGGGGGAAATGAGATGGATGTGAAGTTGCACCACAATTAGCACTTGGAGGCTCGAGAAGAAATGGTGGGGAAAGGGGAAACAAAAAATCAGGAAAGTGACACGATTGCATATGATGAGGTTGCTGACGCTTCAAATTTTCTAGGAATTTCGTCTGTCATTAGGCGACGCGGGCAATGCAATCACAAGCAACCCGATCACATCCAACCCAACCGGATTAGAACCTATCAGAGGCAAATGGGTACACGTCATTAGGACGTGATGCAGATCAAGACAATCGAAGGCAATTGGTATTCGATTGGATAGGATCGAAAGGGGACGGGTGGGAATGCTTCGATCTGCCGCGATCTACCATTGCATCCCGCGCCGTAAGAACTGACGAAAGAATTTAGGGGAAGACTGTCAGAACCAAAAATAGGGGTTCCAGGCTAGATGCACATCCCTTCTACACAAAGTTTGCGAGGCCTAGCAAAGTTTGGTGCCGCGCGATTACAATGTTATGCCCGTTTTGCTAATTACGTGTGTTGTCACACAATGTTGCAGTGACTAGAATCAAAGTTTGTTACAAATTGGGTGTGTCGTCGGGCTGTCCGATATGACACAACCGATAAATTGCGTTCCAACGCAATCGATTGCATCCGATCGAGGCAATTGATTGCAATCATTCAGGACATCGATTGCGATCGAGAGATTGCCCCCAATCGCTATAAAAAATCCCCTGGGGCTTCTCGGAAATCTTAGATTGTTCAAATCGAAGAAATCAATCTGAGTTCGCCTCGATCTGCACCACGTCCTTACCACCCATCTTTCGCCACTATGTTTGACAATTAGAGGGTGTCTCACGTGACAGGTCCGCCCCGATCCGATTTGATGCTAAAATGTGCACGCCTGGTCCGGATGGTCCGACGGACCCATGTGGCAGACCACCCGTGGACCGGAAACAGAATGATCCGCTTGATTTGTTGTGTGCCGGGCTGTACAATAGCTTCGAAGTGAAAGGCCCCGCCCTCCCTTGGGCACATGCATTCTCTGCGACGGCGTGGTGAATTCAACGAAGTGATCGTTTCATTGGATCAGCCCGTCCACTGAAACCGCGATGGGTTTTCAAGGAGGTGGTCCTCTGATTCCCATCGACGAGCTCTAGTCGACGGGGTGCTGTTTGACGAGCTCGTCCTCTGATCTGCTAGTGAGTCGCGCGATCTCTGACGGGCGGAGTGCTTTCCGAGGAGCCTCGTTCTCTGATCGAAGGGCGCCGTTCGGCAAACCTTGTCTCGGCGAACTGGTCGACCGGATTTGCGCGACTGTGGAACTCTACGAAGGCATGCAAAATTTGCTCAGGTGGTTCATGGCAATATTTCACCTGTGGAATGGCATTACGTGCTCGACGATGGACATCTGGTGAAAGCATCGGAACGTTTTCTACCTGGCATCTGCGCAATATCTCCGACGGTGCAACCGTCTACCTGCACCTACTCGGCAGGTGCACACCTGCGCAGATATTCACCTGCGAATGCAGCTCTGGCAGGCCGCCCTACGGCAGCACTGGCATGTCGCCCTTCTGCTACGCTGGCAGGCCGCCGTGCTGCAGCGTTGGCAAATCGCTCTGATGCAATGCTGGCAATTCGCCTTGCAGAATGCTTGCTAGGGGTTCCAATGCCATTCTAGTCATATCACTTGCATGCCTCATTTTGTGTACACAAATTCTCAATTTCTCAATGTTCTTTTTAATTCCTTAGTGAAAACTCTGGCCAAATTTCTCTGTGAAAACAGCAAGTAGTAAGAACGCTGTTAGAGCGCTATGATCACCCGCACAACCCCGTGCCCTCCTCCGTAGTCCACTCCCGTTGTAGGGTGACTCTCCGCATGGTGCGGTGAGCGGGGAACGACCCTGCGTTAGAGCCTTCAGATTAGACAGCTTTTCGCTCCACACCTAAGTCGTTCTAGGCCGGCAACCATCTAGACCGCCATGGACGACCAAGGGGCCGATGCAGGAGTACAAGATATTCTGCAGGCGCGGTTGGATGCTATTCGGGCATGCCACGAGGCTGGCGGGTACGGCGAGGCGGACTTGGATATTTTGCTCCTTGGAGCTCGTGCGCAGTAGGCGCGTGAGCATCCCCCTCCCGGTGCTGAAGCGGACGACGCGTCCGCCTCTCCCCAACCCGTGCACAACGAAGGTGACAGCGGCAATGTTGTCGGTGGTGGAAGCACGAGGGTTCGGGGAGTGATTCGGGCTGCCGACGTTGGCGTTGGCGGAGTGCAGGTGCAAGTGCTGCCGTCGACGGCGGCTGCAGGCAGCTCGAACGGCAGCACCGATGGTCGACGTCATTCTCCTCACCGGAGTGGAGTTAGGCCAATTTCGGCGACCCATGCGTCGGCTAGTCGTGGCGGAGGCATCGTGTCGGCGTATGGCTACTTCAAATTTTTGCTGGACAAGATCGCTGTGCCGAAGCTGCTCGAAGGACGCCACGATTTAATCACATGGATCGAATCCATCGAGCCTTAGCTGGAGATCGCTGGATTGAAGAAGTTCGTTGACGGCAAGGTGGAGACGCCGGACGAAGACGACTCTGAATTGTGAGCGGAATTTCGCGCCGCTCATCTTCTGACATTCATGGTCCTTTCGCGGTGTTGTTCGCCACTGGTGCAAGTCGCGTTAAAGCCATGCAGACTTCGTGTGGACGCCAGAAACCAAGCGTGGTAGTACATCATGCGCACCTACAAAGCGACCGATGACCTCTACATCAGCCTAGAGATTGGCTACCATTCGCATGGGCGAGCAGGAATCGGCGACCGAGTACTGCAATCAAGCGCGGCAAATTTTGGCCAACCTGCGAATGGTTGGCTTCAAGTAATCGGTGGTGTCGTATGTCACGCATGTCATCAACGGCCTCCCATCAAGCTACAATCTGATGCGCCGGATGTTGATAATTCCCGGCACGCGCGAGACTCTGAACGAGGATTCGCTTTCGAGTCATATCATCCAGGATGAGTTCATGCAAGAGTCTGAGCGGTCTTCAGAGCTCCTTCCGCAGGCCAACTACGTTGCTCTTACGAAGCAGGGACGTCAGACGGGGTAGCGTGGAAAGTTGGGCAGAGGTGGAGGCAGTGGCGGAAAGTCGTCGAACACCAAGTCTATGGAGAACGTCGACCCCGGGAAGTCGGCGAAGTGCAATGATCGCGGAAGCAGTGGTTCGCGTCGAGGAGGTCGCCGCTAC